ATATATATATATATATATATATATATATATATATATATATATATATATATATATTCATATTTTTCTATAAAAATATTACAGAAATTTAAGATAAAAATTGAAGACTCACCCCGACGTAAGGATATGGTCTTTATGGGCGGTGCTGTGTTAGCTGAAATAACGAAGGACCGAGATTCCGTGTGGATAACGCGAGAAGAGTATGAGGAAAAGGGTCTTAGTGTACTAAAAAAATTAGGCTCCTACGAATCATAGAGAAAGTTATTGTAACGTAAGTTACAGTTTTTAACGGGCAATCAAGCGTTTTTATACCTATAAGAGTGATTCTTGAGAGTTTGATAATTTACTATATAATTGTAAAAACGAGACATTTCGGAAAACCCGCTAGCTGTTTGATACTACAACAAATTGATTTTTCTTTTTTTGCGCTCATATGCAAATCATGATGTAATTTCAGATACGACAGGTAAAGGATATCAAATACATATAATACTCGTAATGTTTTCATCTTCTTTTTATGCTCATACATAATCATGATACGATTTTTCAAGTACGACGGTTGAAGGATTTAAATAGTTTAAAAATCAATGATTATATGTAAATGAGCACTATGATTCCAGTGAAGCATCAATTCTGAACATTAAATGTTATTTTAGCACAAATGAAAGCTCTTGTCGTATATTTTAAATGGTAATTGTAATTGATTACAATATTACGTCGATCAGACACGAAACAATGTCACATTTTTTATGTGTATTTATAGTCCTCAGGTATATTATATCTCCAACATATCGATTAAGTTTTACTTTTAATTACGCAATATCTGGGAAAGCTCATTCTTCGTTCTTTGTATTTGTCGAACTCTCTTCTCTAGAAAATGTAAATATAATCAAAGTTGTAAAAACGATCCTTTTCAATATAGAACACTATCCGCCTTTTTACTATAGTAATATAGTACTATAGTAATATAGCAATGAATTACAAGCATTGACGTAATTTTCTATTTAAATTCATTATTTTTCGCTCTCGTTACATGTTATAAGATACGAATTTATGGTGTCTTGTAAAGAAAAATAGTTATTAGTCTGTTGTTAATTGTAACAATTGAAATTAAACAATCGGATCTGTATATATACATATATATCAAATGTTAAAATATTTACAAACTTTCTCTTCCTATTAGCTGAGTGATATAAAAGTTTAAAAAGAAATCGTATCATAAGAAACAATCTTACGGTAAACTTTTAATTTTTCAATTATATCGAAAAGTACATATGTCGTACCAAAATGTCTTAGATTCGATTTTATATTTCATAAATATACGTACGATTTTGTATGCCCAAACAAACAAAACACAGATCTACGGTTTTTTAATTTCAACTATTGTCATCATTATTATCTCGTATCATTATCTCGTTATCATCAGTTATACATTAATATTACATAATTCTTATTTTATGTAATATGTGTAAGAAATCTTAAAATGCATTTATATTTTGATATTCTCTTATGCAGTATATAATTATGTGTACATATAATTTTTTTATAGTTATTTTATATTTATGTCGTATTACATTGACCTATAAAAGGGAATATTAATGCTTCTCTCTCGAGAAACATACAGATCAAGTTGCGCACATGTATTATTTGAGATTTGAAAGTATCTCTTGCAACAAAAATTTTCACGTTCAAGAGTTAACAGTTTTTTTATTAATAATGTGTAGATATCAAGAGAGTATTTAAAGGAGAATATTCTGTACATTGTACATACATAATCTAAAGTAATTTCTTAATTTTCATTGAATTGGTTAAAATAAATTTATTTCACAAGAAAGATGTCTTCACGCTTTTTCAATCGTGTGTACGATCAAAGAGAAACTTATGCGAAAAGAAGATTAACAAGTGACAAGGTAGAAATGATTATTTTTAGTAAATTTATAACAGTCTTTATTACGATTTCCATGTGACTTATATTGCATAGCAATGTACACATTTTTATGTATAAATAAAAATAACAATATAATCTGTATCATACAAGTCAGTTGTTAATTGGATGTAATATAACAAGAGATAAATGTATATGTATTCAATTTTTATTAAAGATTTGTACAACTCGGTTGCGATAGCATTCTGTATAACAAATAACAAACTGTTATTTGAAGAGGAAAGGATAATCTATAAACGGTGCTGTAGCCACGCGTGCCTCATTATGTCATGAAAAGAGTTGTTCATGTTTTTCCTTTCAAGTGTATATGATTGCTATACACTCACTTATATTTTAAATGGCCTTTAATATAACAGCTCGTCTTCCCATTCGCAAGCTATATAAGTCGATTATCTTAAGCAAATAAAAAAAAAGGTAATATACAAAACAGTTTCACTTACATCGTAATAGCCCTTCTATAACTCCTACAGTATGTAACAATACAAATTGTTTTTACAATAACCATGTGAAGACACTTTGAAATAGCGAATAAGGAGCTGGATGGAAAACATTGAAGTTTCATTTTAATCACATTCAGAATGTGATTGGCTTGCTTTTGCATTGATCAATACAAAAATTAGTGAAACGCTTAAGGAACTTTGGATACTCCCTCTTGTAAACAGCACGCAAAACGGACGCCGGAGCCCATCCACCTGGATTCACTGAAATTTAAAATTGGTTATGTCCAAACATTCACATTTATTTAATATACACCACGGGAGATTTTTAGAGTCTGGTCTTTATCCAGCCTTTTTATAAAGCATCGTTTTTTTAGAGTGTATATATACAAAATATATAAATAAAAAAATATATATATATAAAATAATAATATATAAACTATAATTATAACAATAATAATATTAATATTTTTTATTATTATTATAATTACATACATACATACATACATACATACATACATACATACATACATACATACCTATATATAAATAAATAAAAGGAATCAACTCACCAACTGAACAATATGTTATTTTACATGTAATGTTCTCCCTTTTTATTTCCTCCTCGTCTTCTGGTGGGTCGATAAACGTTTGGCATACGAGACAAACTGTCAGGTAGACTCTCACGCATTTACCCGCGTTCGGCTGGAACGATAATTCATTTAACAACTCGTAACACATCCTTGAGGAACAAAGGAGAATTTTTTGTATTAAGGCGTATTACCGGATAATCGGGATGTTCGGTACTGTGGTTACAGACAATCCATAGATCGTGGGCATCGCGATCTTGATCGTCCGATACGCGGCGAATGTGTGACCAGAACAACGCATCTCTTTGGCTCGCCGGCCAAATGCGTTTGTGCGTTTGTAGAAATAGTAGTGTATCTTTGGAAATATTCTCGACGACGGTCATGTCTTCGAGTGTAGCTTCCCAACCACTTCTATATTCGGGACTGAAGAATATTTCGCATACTTCGTGACCAGTTACTCCCTTGACGACGTGACATGCTTTTAGGGGATCCACAACTAAACCGTCAGCTTCTTCCTCTCGCCGATACATCCGCATGTCACCGTCCTCGGCGAATAACTGCCAACCGCCCGCCCCGCCAACACCCAGTCGAGCGTAATGCAATTGTTCCATCGTAATTTTCTCTATCTGTAGATTGATATTCATTAAGAATCATCAATAAGAAAAACATCGAAAGATAAAAACTAGTTTTCACGCGTTGTGTACTAAATATATGAGTTATTAATAATTTATGCCACATATAAATATAAAATTAACGTTAGTAATTAAAAATTAAATTACAAACGTTACGTATTAATTTAACTAATTGGAAATTAGTGTCATAGCGAAAAGAAGAGAACATTTTCTTTTGATATGATATTAATTTAATTTGTTTCAGAAACATACTAGCCATTAATAAAAATACAAGTAAACGGAAATTTTTGACGAAATGAATTTATGAAATGTAAAGAGCATAATAAACCTCTGGCCATAGCCTGTGTGTAGATGCTGTTATAGTGGGAGACGTTAAAATCGAGACAGATTTTTGTTTCAAACGGTCCCTTAATTGATTTTCCTCTTCTATTTTGTCTAAACCAGTTTCCACGGCATCGTAAAATTCCTCGTCGCAAAGAGCGCTGTGTGGACCTTCCTTGAAAATGAAATCCCAATTTAGTTATTAGAGGTTGATAATTTATAGTATATACTTGGTTCTTTTTTTTAACATTAATTCATAATAAATAATTACTTTATGTGGAAATTCTATGCACAATTAAACATGCACAATTAATTAAATGTTATTGACAGTTTATATTTTGCTACTCTCAATTGTATCAGCATATATACAAAATAACTCACACTATAAAATTTGATTTTTAACTTCATTCTATGTATAGTATTAAAATTACGATATAGAAAAATAATTATACAAATATGAAGAGAATATATGCGCCGAATATATCTGAGAATATCTGCGCAGTCTATATTCTTTGAAAGTCTGGAGGATACTAGCAGGTAGGATATGAGCACATAAGTTTTTGGAGGCAGTGACCTAATTAATAGTTACGAAACATACATTTCACTCTCTAAACATACTGACGCGCATCTACATAAAAGAAAGTATGAAATATATTATTTATGAGTGAGACATATGTAAGTTTAAACAATCAAATTACCCTACATAATCTTTTGATTAAAACTTTAAACTAACAGCCTGTTATCTTATCATTACATATATGCAATTTTTATGAATTTTTTGCGTAATATATACGAAAATAAAGGAAATTTATCTTAACATCTTTATAAAATCTTATTATCCAAGATATCAATGCATAATGATAAGGTTTTTAAAGAAATTAATGGATAATGATAAGGTTTTTAAAATAATTTAAATATAAAAACTTTCTCATTGTATATAAAATTTTGTTTCAGTAGTGTTATTTTGTCTATAAAATCCGATTTGTATTTTCGCATGAATTATATATTATAAATTTCTCCTTTTCTCCTTAGTTCTTTTTCCTTCTTTTTATACCAAAAAAAGATCTATGCTAAAGAATATGCCAAAGAAATTATTGACAGTTATATAAAACGTCTATTCCAGAACTGTTATATAATACAAATGAATTGGCAGTTTGCATTGCAGCAGATGATATACAAATATCAGTTAGTATAAGAAAATCTCTTGTATTATATAAATGTTTGCTCTGTGAAAATTTTAGATATTTCTTTTTTGCTCCGTGAAATTTTTAGATATTTCTTTTTTACTTATGTCTATCTATCTATCTATCTATTATCATATTTATTTTTCATAATTTTTAGCGGCGTGTATGTTTAAGTGCTATCTATAAATAATTCCAAACATTTATGCATCTAGATGTGGAGTTACATTACACAGTATTAGGATTCTTAAAATAAAATAGAAACTTTATGTACAAATTATAAGTGGCAACACAAAAGTGTGATAATAGATAACCAACCTCGTAGTCAGGGCCTCCGTGGATGAGAACCCTGGGTCTTGGTGAGCCAGTATGATGCATAGCAACTTGATCTTTTAAGGCTTTGTACAATTCTTGCAACTTTCGTCTCTTTTCGACTTCCTTTTCCCATCTACGGCGCCAAGCATCTTCTCGTTGTACCATTAATTCAACGCAATGTTGTAAGGTCGCTAACACTCCTTCACTGGTAGCTTTAAATGTTATCGCTTCTCCTTTGAAATCCACTGATTGTTCGGCTGGATTGAACATTGTCTCAATTTTCTTTTCTAAAGTTTATTTGAATAGAATTAATCATAAAGAATTTTAAAGCTCTTTCAAATGTTTTATACAATTCTTTTGTTATATGATAAATTGCACAATTATATAGTACATTATGATAGTATATATGTTTGAAAATTGTAAATTTACAGTTTGTCTAGAACAAAAATTTAAAAAAACATGTCAAAAGTTAAGAAGAAATGTTACCTTTCTTGGAAGTATTCTTAGCATTTTCTGCACAATTATCAAAATACTTCTGCAATGTATCAATTTGCTTGATAAGAATGTCTCTAAAGGTTTCGATCTCAGCTAACTTTTCTTTCAGTCCTCTGATACCACGTTTAGTAAAGCTACCAGCACTTGTTGTAGATTGTGTATTTGACACAAGCGATATGGCACTACCATGTCGTTTGAGACTGTTCTCACTTCCGTAACCAGATTCTGACTATTCAAAACAAACTAATTTATCATCATATAATTTAATTCTAGTAATGGTATTGTGACTTTAATAAGTAAATAGTACCTGGATATTGTGAAAACATATATAATATACACATACGAAGAATTGTATTGTCTAATAAATGTTTCATATGCATTGTTTTAAAATTATTACCTTATAAGATTTCAAAACATCTACCCATCTTTGTTTTTCTTCTGTACTCCTTGCTCTTAAATACCAAACCAAACAGTCATTTACAGACACATCAAATCTACACTCATCAAATTCGTGCGCCTGAAAAAAACAGATTATTTAGCATGAACTCATCACTGTGACCATAGCATCAAAATGTATGTTGTCCAATCACACATAAAGTATGCAAAATAGAACTATAATAGTATAAAATAATCCTACCTTGATATTAGCTTTATACAGACTAATCGAACCTCGGCATCCAAATCCACTGTCCTGCTCAGATTTGTAATAAGACAAAGTACCATCTTTGAGTACAATAAATCTAGTTTGCCAGCCATGTATGTAATTTGTCCATTTGGATAATGTACCCTGAAGTTCCGGAACTATGACCCCGTCAGAGCCTTCTTCTTCGTCATCGCCGTCGATTTCGGCGTCTATACATTCGGCGTCCTCATTATTATGACGTAGTGTCTCCACCACCTCGTCGGCCATTCTTATCAATCAGTTATATCTCACGGCCCGCGTTTATCCAGAACACGCTTGACATCGCCAGAGACGAATTGGAATTAAAGCCACGCGATTGTGCAAAATACTGCGAATGTCGACTTTCGTTTCGTCCCAAGACAGATGAAGAAGATTTGCGGGACGATTAGCCGATTATCACGTCCAGCTACGTCTCAAAACACTCCTCTGACAATTGCCGTACAAAATAACCTGTACGCAAAATATTTCTTATCACACATACGAGACGTCAAGCAGGAGGATTGCCACTACACTACATAGTGAGTTGTTGCATGCCAATTTTCTTACTAGCTAGAAGAAATTATCAGAAATTTATTATCTATTACTAGAAATCTGGTAGAACTGCCTTGGGGACTCTAAAGGTACCTTTACACGGGAGCATCGAGCGTCGAGCGTTAAAGCGGTAGTCAATCAACGTGCCACTTTTCGCAAGAACTATATGTATACTTCTGGAACCTGATACGTTGATTGGCTAATGCTTTAACGTTCGACGCTGTAACGCTCCCATGTATTGACACCTTAATGGTTCCTGCACACAAGACGCGGTAATGCTTGCCGCACGGCGAAAGTTTGCGCGACAGCCAATCAATATGTTGTTTTTCCGTAAGAGCTAGAAGGTTATTACAGAAACCAGCATATTGATTGGTTGTCACGCGAATTTCTGCCGCGCGGCAAGGATTACTGCGTTCTGTATGCAGGAGCCATAAATATTCTCCCTAAGGACGCCATCCCACGGAACGGAAATTTTCAGCGTAACGGAACGTGCGGAGTTAGCCGACCAATCACAGCCGTTCCGCTTTTCTTCCAACGCTTTTTCTATTTTCCTTGTGTCCCATGGAACGGAATACGCGGAAGCGGATCACGCGGAATAATACAAAAAGTAGACTTTTTAATGTTATTTCTTACGTTTTTAATAATTTTAATAACATTTTATACAATGATATAATATATGATAAATTAGTAAAAAATAAAATTAGTTTCTCAGTAAAATACTTTTTACGAAAATATGCAACCATTTTACGATTGGCTAAAACATAATTCCGCTGCCGCGTTTATCGCTTCATGGGACAGAAGGAAAAATACATGAGCGGAATTGCAGTAATACGTTGTGTAGTATAATAAAGTGAGATCTGTTGTGATTAATTGTGAAGAATATATTATGTGATTTTTGTCGACTGTGACTGTTAATTAACATATAAACATATAAACATATAAACATATAAACATATAAACTATAAACATATTAACTATACACATATACACATTAACTATAAACATATAAACATATTCACATATTATACATAATTGTTTACTACAATTATCAAAATATTAACACTTTATTACTTACGATCCCTCCACTCATCATTTCTAAACGAAATAATAAAGAATGTCGAAAAAAATATATATAATAAATGTATAAGAAACAAATGAGATATGTTGAGGTTATCCGCGACTATCTTTATCCTTTCCGCAAAATTACAGAGGTAAGATTATAGCAAAACGGTACAAAAAAGAGCGGAACAGCTGTGATTGGTCGTACTTATTCCGCGGAGAATTCCACCCCATGGAACGTCATCCTAAGGGCCGTGACACACAGAAAAACTTAAGCAGTAAGACGTAAGCAGTAAGCAAATTGACCAATCACAATTGTTGATTCTTGGACCGTAAGAAGAATCAATGACTGTGATTGGTCAATTTGCTTACTGTTTACGTTTTACTGCTTAAGTTTTTTTGTGTGCCACTAGCCTAAAGCCTGTATCAGACTACCGACTGCACAGGCTGACCCGACTACCGACGCAGCGTACCCTACAGTACGTCATAACCTAACTGTACCTGAGAGTTAACGGCAAGACGTACGATCGAATAATTCTTTGCTCATGATAATCGTGCGTCAAGAACAAAACAGTCAAGGTAAATTTTGCTAACGACACATTATATCGACAATAAGACAAATTGTTACGTATGATATATATCAGACCTAAGGTTGCTACGCAATATTTCTCGAGGTAGCCATTCTATTCCACCTTCGGAAAATTTGTTATCGTGGAAATGCAAAGTACAATATTTTGTGAATGTATTTTGTTTCTGATCACGTGTGTCACGTTTTAGAACAGTTAATGTATGTGTGTTATTCGTAAAGAAACGTACAGATCAGCGGAGCAGAGAGTGTTGTACAGTTTCCGTGCGAATTTCGTGAGCAACGTGACGTACAACAAACATTCAAGCGATGTCTCTGCAACAGTGGGTGCACATACGACATAAAATCGATATACCATGGAAGACTTTTATTAGGGAGTCTTCCAGTGTTCAGGACAAGTCCCCGGAGAGATACATTCATCAGTTGGCCTTCCAGGGGAACGAAGCGAAAGCTGCCTATGAAGAAATTATTTATGAAAGTAATAGCAGTGCAGCAGTGACCAGATTGAAGTATTTAAAGTCAAAGACTGTTGGAAGCCAAAGCAACTCCGGCATAAATTCGGCTTCTATCAATGCGCAGTCCAAGAGAACCATAGTCCCTGAAGATGTCCTGGCGAAAGTCACGATCAACACATTGTTGAAGGCAGTGGAGCAGAAGGACTTGAAGTTTCTCCAGAAACATATGACATCAGAAAATGTGAATGTGTCTGATGACTTTGGATGGACCCCACTGATGTCCGCTGCCTATTGCGGTCATTTGGAGATTGTACAATTCTTACTGAATCTCGGGGCTAACAAGAGAACCAGAGACAGATCTGGACTCACCGCAGCCCAATTAGCTTTGAAGAAGAATTACCTAAGCATAGTTGCATTACTCAAGAAAAAGACTGAATCAGTAAACAATAATAATCAATCATCTGTGAACATACCTAAGTCGAATAATGCAAATGCTCTACCAATGAGACCAATGTCTATAGACTCTTCGAAGAATCACGACAGGGACGTCCGCAACGTTACAGAGGAGAGGGCACAGTCGCAACAGAATACAGCATTTTACTGCGAAATCTGTAAAGCACTCTTTCAAGAGGCGACTACGCAAAAACACGAGACCTCCACCTTGCACATCTTCAATACGAAGCCCAAATTGAAGCACGCGATGTACGGAATATCGAAGCAAAGCAAAGGATACAAAATGCTTCTGAATACCGGTTGGGACGAGGAAGTTGGTCTTGGGCCTTCAGGAAAGGGAATAAAATATCCAATTAAAACATGTTTGAAAATAGACCGCAAAGGATTAGGACAACCGGTGGAAAGTGAATACAGAGTCACTCATTTCAAGCCAGGCGATACAACTGCCATTAACGGCGCTAAAGTACCCAAGCAGAAACCATTAAAAAAAAGGGATAGAGAAAGATTACTTCACAGAGAGGCTAGGAAAGAAAGGGCTCTACGTATTGCACTATCTTAAAATTAGATATAAATAATTTTATAAATATGAATGTGGCGTTTTTATCTAAAGAGATTCATTGCAATGAAAATAATTGTTATTGTTCTTATATATTCATGCTTGTAAGTTTATTGTCTTTCTGTACAGTATCAAATAATTCGTGTTGTAGATTGATATTATCTGTTTTCTTTTTTATTTTTTTGTACCTTTTGTAATTAATAGTATTATTTTTTGTGTCAATCGTTAATAAAAAATGTAAATCAAAGTATAGAGACTCTGTCTTTATTTTATTTGTGTAAAAAATGCAGTAAGAATGATAACCTTATACAAATAAATGTACTTATCTATAAATCTTTCAATATAATAAGAGGAAGAAATAAATATAAAAGGTAATATATAAATGTTCTAATTACGTTACAGATGAGTGATCACGAGAAAATATTGGAACACTTAGAACAAGTTGAATATAAAGCTGGTGAGATTCTCACTGATCTCGACGAGATAGTCGCTCTAGATAAACGAAGGAACGATGATCGCGTTGGAATGAGATCCCTAGAAAAAGAGCCGTGTAAAAAAACGTGGATAACGGTGGGTCCATTGCTGCTAAAGATGCAATCTAAGACAGCTATAGAACTGCTCGAGAAAGGTAATTTCTAAATTCATGCTGTATGAAATTGAAACTGAGATCAATTGATATCCAGATCTTTTATATTCTATAAAATATTTATTGATATTGCAGATCGGAGAGAATGTAATAACACAATTAATAAGATGAGAAGCGACTTAAAGATAAAAGTAAACGAATTACGCGATTTAGAGTTAGCTCCACCAGCACCTGGAATGATGTTGAATCCTATGTCCCACAAAGAAATGGAAGCAATGAATCAAGTATTAGGTCGAAGTGTTTAATATGCATAAAATCAACAAATTTCTATTCTACTTGACAGTACAATAAAAAGTTACATCAAGTGTATGAGCTTATCGTATTTAAGGGGGTATAACACCTTTGCGTAAGAAATTTTTCCTCTTTTTCATTAATTTTTTTCACATCTAAGGAATAGAGTAATCAAAAAACGGGTTTGAGGGTTGATTTTATTATAGTTTCTAGTTATAAAATATATTTTTTTTATT